CAGTGTTGCGTCTAGTTGCTCAGTGTTGCGTCTAAATGCTCAGTGTTGCGTCTAGATGCTCAGTGTTGCGTCTAGTTGCTCAGTGTTGCGTCTAGATGCTCAGTGTTGCGTCTAGATGTTCAGTGTTGCGTCTAGTTGCTCAGTGTTGCGTCTAGATGCTCAGTGTTGCGTCTAGTTGCTCAGTGTTGCGCCTAGATGCTCAGTGTTGCGTCTAGATGCTCAGTGTTGCGTCTAGATGCTCAGTGTTGCGTCTAGATGCTCAGTGTTGCGTCTAGATGCTCAGTGTTGCGTCTAGATGCTCAGTGTTGCGTCTAGTTGCTCAGTGTTGCGTCTAGATGCTCAGTGTTGCGTCTAGTTGCTCAGTGTTGCGTCTAGTTGCTCAGTGTTGCGTCTAGATGCTCAGTGTTGCGTCTAGATGCTCAGTGTTGCGTCTAGTTGCTCAGTGTTGCGTCTAGATGCTCAGTGTTGCGTCTAGTTGCTCAGTGTTGCGTCTAGTTGCTCAGTGTTGCGTCTAGATGCTCAGTGTTGCGTCTAGATGCTCAGTGTTGCGTCTAGATGCTCAGTGTTGCGTCTAGTTGCTCAGTGTTGCGTCTAGATGCTCAGTGTTGCGTCTAGATGCTCAGTGTTGCGTCTAGATGCTCAGTGTTGCGTCTAGTTGCTCAGTGTTGCGTCTAGATGCTCAGTGTTGCGTCTAGATGCTCAGTGTTGCAGCTGCAACACTCTCAACACCACACAGGTCTGTGTTCCGACGCTTCCTGTATCACAGATGTATATGTATCATATCTTTCACATTATCATATTAAATTTGGGGGGGGGTGTCTGGGGGCTCAAATTGATTTCTTATAGGTGGAAGAGGAGGACGAAGAGGAGGAGGACGAGGACGAGGAGGAGGAGCAGAGGAAGGAGGAGGGGGAAGAGCAGAGGAAGGAGGAGGGGGAAGAGCAGAGGAAGGAGGAGGGGGAAGAGCAGAGGAAGGAGGAGGGGGTTTTAAGCCATATTAGAGCAAATTAAGATTCCCTTTGGGACTGTGAACACCTCCCTGGCGCACCGTTGAACGCCCTCTTATCCTAACTCAAGTGCGGGTAAAGGTGGGTGGGCGGGAGCACCTTCTGTAGGGACGGGTGGGGTGGGCCCGTCTCTCCCCTCACTCACACTCTTCCCCTCACTCACACTCCTTCCCTCACTCACACTCCTCCCCTCACTCACACTCCTTCCCTCACTCACACTCCTCCCCTCACTCACACTCTTCCCCTCACTCACACTCCTTCCCTCACTCACACTCCTCCCCTCACTCACACTCCTTCCCTCACTCACACTCCTCCCCTCACTCACACTCCTTCCCTCACTCACACTCCTTCCCTCACTCACACTCCTCCC